ATGCTTAGAGTAGCACCAAGTAAACTAGTAAATAACTAAATAGCGTAATTATTGCTTCAGGGGCCACAGTAGGAGGGAGCACTGGTTTGTGTGAGGCAACAGTCCTAGAAAGAGAGAGAAGAGGCAGTTGGACTCAAGGGACCTGTGGGAGGCAGGGTGAAAGGGAGGGATGTAGAGTTGGTGGTGCCATGGACAACCTGGAAGAGGAGTGGCCGGGGAGGGTGTGTGCCGTGCAGGTGGGATGGGCAAGTTCGGATGTGCCCCAGATACCTGAGTGGTGATGTGACCAGCAGCAGTGCAAACTCGGGAGTATAGCACGGGTGTGTACCGAGGTGCTCCCCCAGGGGGTGTGCAGGCAGAGTTCAGGATGGGAGCTGTGAGATCTGGAATGAGGGGCAGCTGAAGATGGCTTTTCAACTTGTGGGTAGGCAGCAGGGCAGAAAGGCAGACCAAGGGAGGTGCACAAAGTGAAAGGTGGCTGGGAGAAGAGAACAGAAACGGGGCACGGTCGGAGCGGGTATGGGGCTGGTTTTTGCTGTGGGGGTTGAACCCAAGACCTTCCCACAAAGGAATTAGATCCTCACCTCTATTTATTTGATTTGTTTGTTTATTTAGAGACAAGGTTTTGCTAAGTTGCTACAGTGCTCAGGTTGGGCTTAAACTTGTGATCCTCATGCTTCAGCTTCCCAGAGTCCTAGGATTGCGAGCATAGGCCAGCTCACTTGGCTAGCTTTTTTGTTTTACAAAGAGGGGGTGATTCTAGTTTGTTTTCTGCTGATGGGAAAGCTGGAGGAGCCAGGGGTACATGCCTGGTGATGCTTCTTAGAGAAGACAATGAGATGGGGGCGCAGTATACATGTGTGTAGGTGTTTCTGTGGGCATCTGGTTCTAGGTGCATGGTTTCCTGAGGGCATGTATGTTTGTGTCCATCTATCTATGTCTGGCTATGTCTTGTGTGTGTTGATGCCTGACTATGCATTTGTGCCCACCTAGCTGCACGCACTTGTGTATGTGGTGGGTGAGGTCAGAAGACCTGGCATTCTGTGTTGGAGAGTGCAGGACACTCTCGGTGGGTGATGCTGCCCCTGACCTAGGCCCATGTTAGGGGCACTGGGGTGCTGGAATCTTGGATAAGGAAGTCCCCTGGAGCTGGTGGGCTGGGAGGTAACTTCCGGGATCTGCCTAGAAATACTGGAGAGGTCGGATTCGAGTGCGCGGGAAGGGTGTCTGGGAATGCAGCCTCCTGCAGGCCTGGAGATGTGCCATCTGCCTAGAGCTGCGCACTGCGCACGGTCGGAGTGTTGCCGCCACTTCGTGGCCGAGTCAGGGATTGCCGGACCGGGCTCAGGAGCAAGGACTTGACTCCATCTGGTGGTAGCAGAGGGTCTCTGCGCCTTGTGGACACAAGGTTTTCTGAGCGAGCTGGGTGGGCAGGCACAAGAGCGAGGGGCCACAACCACAGGCAGAGCTCAGCATAGAGCTCCTCCTCTGGCTCCAACTCTTGAGGCTTCGCAGCTCTGTTTAGGCCATTCTGTGCCCCAGTCTCCTCCTCCTCTGTAGAGCAGGATGCCGCATATATGGGCAGGGCTACTGGGAGAGGGGTATTAAACAGTGTACCGAGGACGGGGCCCAGCAGCCACTCTCTTCGGTTAGAGTGTCTGACTTGGGCTGGCACAGCAGCCCTGAGATTGGGAAGGGCTCACTTCTGCCGTCTGCCTCTGTCCCTGTCCTAGGCTTCAAGTCCTCCAGTCTGCTCTCCCTACCCTCCTCTTCCTTCGGGTAGGGAGTGGTCTCCACCCAGTCCTGCCCTGGGGTACCTCCTGCTGTCCCCTCACAGCTGAATCCCTGGTGCAGAAAAACTGGGCATTAGGAAACTCAGGAAGCAGCAGCGCCAGCCTCCGGAGCAGAGCTCCTGACAGCAAATCAGCCGGGCTCCGACACCATCCTCTCCCCACACCCAGGGCGCATCTGCTTGTTCCCCTTCCCCAAGCCAGTGAGTCGCAGGGAGAGACCAATTCCAGACCACCCCACTTCCTGGGCCCCATGGGTCAACTCTGAGGTTCCCACATCCAACTGAGGGTCTCCTCACCTTGTAACAGGAAGGAGAACAGTGAGGAACACCAGGAGAAAGTTCTTCGATTGGCCATGGGCTTCCCACAGGGACAAGGCTAAAAGGAAATGAGGGTCAAGGAGAAGGGGTGGCCTCAGACCTCAGTGTCACAGGTTGGGGGGGGGGGGAATGCTCCTGTTCCTGGAGAGGCTGCTCACCCAGATGGTAAAGCTAGCGGGTGGGCCTTGGCTGCTGGAGAGTGTGGCGAGGGTGCTGGAGGACTCAGTCCTGGGCCCTTTGGGGCAATCAAGCCACCTGGAAGGAATGGGGATGAGGCACACTGGGCGGTCCCAGAGGCCAGAGCTGCCTATTCACACCTGTCTACCTGTCAGGGTCTCTCATCTTCCCCTGAGACTCAGTACCCCGTGGGGTTCTCAGGCTTCAGAACAGACCCTCAGCTTTGGGACATCTGTTCTCTCCACCCGTCAGGGAACAGGAGCCACATCCGGAGATTGTAGCCACTCAAGGACAAAGGGCTGGTAGGAACTTCAAAAGGAGTTAGAGAAGCCCATTTGGGAGACCAAGTAGGGGGGCACTGGGGTTTAGGTAATTATTCTCTTTGGTGTTTTGAGACAGAGTCATGCTGTACACTTCAGGCTGGTGTTGAACTCGCTATGTAGTCCAGGCTGGCCTCAAACTGTCAGTGATCCTCCTGCCTGAGTGCTGGGATTACAGGTGTACACCACCACGTGTGGCTGGTATGAGCAGTTCCTTTCCCAAACTGATGGACCTACTTGACCCCTAGAGCCTGTCTGTGGCCCCTTTTTAAGTCCTTAATCAAATGACCCCCTCCAGTTTATACTTGCAGCAGGTTGAGCAAATGGGACAGGGCAGAACGGGGAAGAACAAAGAACAAAGTAAGGGACAGTGACACAGTCCCAGAGTGGAGGGAGGACCTAGCTATCCCCAGCCCCACCCTAGTCATATGTACATGGCTCATACATGTACCCATACCTGTCACAAAGACAGGGACCCTTGCACAGGCACACACGCACACATTCACACATACTTTGGGTCACATGCTCACACCTACCCACCCCAGGCCTGATCCTCCTCCCCCAGACACACACACACACACACACACACACACACACACACACACATCCTTGTGTCAGAGGTGAAGTCTGTCTTCCTAACACTATGAGGCTCCAGCTGGGCTTAGGACTACAGCTGGATCAGGTGCCACTTTAGTGAATTCTGGGATGGGCTTCAGGTCTGGGGCTGTGGCCTTCAGGTGGAGGTTGTGCTGGGAGCCACCAAGGGTTGACTGTGATCATTGCCTGAACCCGGTTTCTAGTCATCACCACCCAGAAAGGAAACTCCTTAGATGGATGTGTTAAGTGTGTGCAGGCCTGGTTGTCCCCAAGAGGTGACACAGTGAGGACATCTTACCCTGCTCCCTCCCACATGCACATTTGTGTATGTTCACACACTCATACTGTGGGGCTGGCCCCGGGGCAATCCTGATTATCTCTGAGCTGTAGCACAGGGAAAAGTCACCCTGCAGGCTGCTCCAGCTGGGCCTTCAGGTGTCCCTTTGCTGAGCAGATGACATGTGATGCTCTGCCTCAGGCTTCACCAAATGCACCTGTGACTAGGGACACTTTCTGACCATGAATTCAGTCTTACTCTGAATGCCAGATGCCAGGGACAGCTATTTCTGGGTCACTATCAGCCAGGCCCTCCCAGCTGCCTCTCACATGGGACCTGGCCCTCCACAGTTCGTCTTGTAGCTTTCTGAGCTGATGGGCATCTGTCTCCCCACATTCTGTGGGTCCCCTGCGTCCCTCAGACCCTGATTGTAGGCTGCCTTCTTCCTGAGCCTCTGCCTCCCTCTGTCAGATGGTCCAGGCCAATTCTGGCTGGAATCAAGGGGAAGCCTCACCCCTGCTCAAGACTCATGGATGAAGGTGGCCCCGATGGGGTAGGAGGCAGCCTCAGCACCCTGTTCCAGAGCCCTTTGATGGGGCAGAAAGGGAAGTGGAGCAGCTCCTTCCTCTGAGGAATCCAGAATCATCTCCCCAGGTCAGGATGAGCAGACTGGCACAGGCTCCTGAGAAGGACCTCAGAAAGACCCCCAGAAAGATGAAGGAGGGACTCCTTGCAGGCACAAGCAGAGACAGAGCCCCACAGTCCAGCAAAACTTCCCTCAGGTTACAAACAAAATCCATGCACAGCCATGGTCACATCCATGCCCTAAATCCCTAAATTCCAACAGATACTTCCTCAGAGACTTTTTGGCATCACACTGGGTATTTTTTGTTTTGTTTTGTTTTTAGATAAGATCTCATTCTGTAGTCCAGGCTGGCCTTGAACTTGAAGCAATCCTCCTGCTTCAACCTTCCAAGTACTGGGAATATAGGCGTGCACCACCCTGGCTTTTGATAAACTCAGAGCCATATTTGGTGTGCAAATATGTGTGTCTGGAAAAGGAGTTTCTTCTACTTCTCTTTCCCCAACCCCAGAGCTGTTTTATCATGGATGGGCAGTCCTGCAGCTCTGAGGTGAATGTGCCTGGGGTGCAGTTAAGGTCAGATAACAGCTCTCAGTCAAAGGCCTGCTTAGTTCAGGGGTTCAGCCTCATTTGTTAGCTGTGAGCGGTCTCTACTGAGACTTGTATGCAGTGCTCAGGGGCAGCTCCAGTCTCTGCCTGCTGAGAGCTCAACACTGTTCCAGCGATCCTCAGGGGGCTTACTGCAGGAAGGGACACCAGTGAACTTCCCTGCAGACCAGGGACCTCCTCCTCCTCCCACACAGGGTGCCCCTGCCATGGGAATCGCCGTAGCAGGGCCCACAGGTGCCTGACGTAGGCTGTCCTGAGAAGCAGAAAGTCCAAAAAGCATGGGAAAAGGTCTACAAGTTCCCACAGCAGCACACAAACAGACACCACTGCTCTGAAAACCAAGTGCTTTATTCAGAACCTCCCCCCAGGTCATAGAAAAGCTGCAAACCGCGTGGTTTGTACAAGGCAAAGGCTAAGGGACTGCAGGACATCCCTTACTGCTGGGGCCCCTGTCCTTAGGGCCTCAGGCTTCCCTGGTCATCATAGCTCTTAGCTGAGCTCCTGAAACAGCCAAGTCCTCACACTTCCCTTGGCCGATGAGTGAGGAAGTGGGTAGGGACAATGGCCAAGGTCCCCATCTAAGGCTACTGTCCCCCACTCAGAGCCTGCTGTGTCCCACAGCCACAGCTCCCCACATCCTCAGAGCTCTGCCCTGGGCACGTCTCAGCTCTGGATGCAGAGTGCTGGAAGGACAGGTGGTCCTGCACACAGGTGATGGGGCAGGCGGCCGTCCTGGCCAGCGAGCCCTGTCCCTCACTCAGTACAGGTCTGCAAAGGGCTTGGAGTAGTTGAACATCAGGTAGTCCATATAGTAGAAGTCGTAGGTGCGCTGCCGCTGCAGGGCTGAGAGCTGTGCGAAGTACTGGTGGGTGATCCTCGAGGTCGTGCGCGCCTCCTGTGAGTGTCGGTCTTTGAACCGCGGGAAGGTCAGGTTGTGAGGTGCTCGGATGAGGCTCAGGAAGAAGTTGGCGTCATCCTCCATGCTCTCAAACTTGCCCACAAAGTCATAGTCGATGAGGCAGGGGCTACACAGCCGGCTGACATGGTCCCAGTGGATGTCCATGCCGACGGGCCGGTGTACATCCAGAAGATACTGGATGAATTCGGGGAAGCGCACACCAGAGCCCGTCCGCAGCGCCTCCCGTGAGGCGTTCGCCCGGTACCGGGCCAGGATGGCCTTGCCAAAGACCGGGTGGTAGTAGCTGTTTGGGTGCTCGAACTTGTCACGGAAAGCCGAGACCAGCCTCTCGAAGGGCTCGCGCACGAAGAGCATCTTGGTGTAAGTGCCCAGGCGGTGCAGGATGCCCTGGCGATTAAAGGTGTCCAGGCGCTTAAGGGCGCTGCTGTAGTGGACCGTGTTGTGCTGGATATCCGCGGTGGACGAGGCCAGCCCGGCCAGCACCATGAGCACCCGCTTCCAGTTGGAGCAGCCCACCTTGGGCACCTCGCAGTAGAGCACACGGTGTCGGTCCTCCACAAAGATGCGCGACACGTGTCGGGGCGTGACTGGCCTGCGGCTGCTGCTTGCCCGGTACTTGGCGCAGGCTTCCCGCATCACCTGCTTTCGCTCCTGCTGACTGCGGTGCAGCTTGACCCAGTGGCTGTCCGGGGCCTGGTGTCCTGGAGGGGCAAGGGTCTCAGAAGAGCTGTTGGCCACGATGGCCACTGCAGCTGGCATCTTTTTGATTAGCAGCCTCCGCCGTCGCTGCCGGGGTCGCAGTCGGGCCCCAGTCTTTGGATACAGTTGAGGCTGGTCAGGGACCTGCAGTTTGAGGTCTCTTGGGGTCCGGCTGGACAAATCTTGTGTGACTCTCTCTGTGGATACTTTCACGTCACCATCATGGGAACTACCTGGTTGGAGGTCCTGAGACAAGAAGGGAGGTGGTTACCAAGATGGACAGAACAGCTGGGCACAGAGGTCCAGCAAGTCAGATGTTGCCAGAACTGGGGTTTCTGCCCTCTCTGCAGCCTGAGCTTTTCCTGGGACAAGGGAAAAGGCAGGTGTGGCGCCCTAGTTTGAGTCTTGCTCCAGCATAATCTGGCCATGAGTGTGGGATTTGAGATGAACACGCTATTTCAGCCACAAGATGGTGTGCTCCTCCCGGGAACCTGGCCAGAGTAGGCCAGGCGAGCCAGTGGCCCGAAGGAATCTGGCTCAGATTTACTGTGTCAATTAGCACAGTTTAAAGGAGCCATCTAACAGGAAAGTGAAATTCATAGATCTAAAGCCCTGGGCTTTATTCCCAAGGCTCCTGGAAAGGACTGGACACATTTTTCTTTTTAAGGATGGAGTCAGTGTGAGCTCTGAATTTTCTTCTCTGTCCTCCCCAACTTTCTCTAGGGTGCATGTGCTGAGATTTATGTAACTCTCAGAACATACCTTGTGGGGTTTCTGTGGCCTGATGTTGAACTTTATTCCTAAAAATCAAACAGAGGAAAGGACAGGTTAGCATCAGAACTGCCATGTGGCTCTCAGGGACCTTCTTATAGGCTCTTTCCCTGTGGACACCTAAGGCAGAGGGAGCTTAGGATAGGCTCTGCAGAAAGGCAATTTAGGGCCCTTTGATCCCCTACCCTATGATAAATTAGGTTGTCACAAGGATGTGGTTCCATTGGCTCCCAAATGGTGCTAACTTCTCTGCATCTCTGGTACAGCCTGCAGGTCTGGGATAAGTGCCCTGTCCAGGTGTACCCACAAGCCTGTTCAGTGGAAAAGTCATGGATTTTTAGACCATCCTCACCTCATGCCTTGACGCCATTAAGTCACAGTGAAAGAACCCTTCTGAAGACTTTGTCTATCCTTCCCATCAGCCACCCCATCAGCCACGCCCTGTTTCTAGTGAATGTGGATTTTCTGTACTTGAAGTACGATACATGTGCCCCCACATGTGGGTGACTATCTGGTTAGACAGTGGATACTGCTTCATACTTTACTTTGTTGGGGAAGATGGGAGTCTTCCTTTGGCAGAGTTTATATGCAGCAGCCCGGGCCTCTTTTCTCAGTACCTGCCTGGCCCACTAGGGCATCAGGGGCTTTTTCTGCTGTAGTGGTATGGGAACGGACAACTGTATTCTGAGGCATCGCCAAATGGCACAGTCACAATTAGAAGCAGCCACCCCTTAAAGAAGCTAGAATTTCCAGCCCGGTGCACAGAGGCACTATGCCAGCCACACCTGACTGAGTCCTGGCTGCTGCCCAGGCGCACACGGGGGAGGGGGGTCATTCCGATGGCCCAGAACTTCCCTCTCTGTCTCTCTGTACTGGGCTGAGGTCCAGTAGCTGGTGTCCAGCTGGCAAGGGACATCGGGTCTTCTCTGATCGAGCCTCCTTGATTCCTCCACTGGGTCCAGTTTCAGTCTGTAGAGCTGACTTTGACCCGGTGTTGGTCAGTCTGAGGCAACTTGTTAGCAAGCAGGGAGAGAGGACAAAGGTCACCTCTGAACATTCTTTAAATTCCAAGAGGTAGAAAGGTAGAACTTGGACAAGCTACTCAAATTTCCCCCACCCTGTAATCCTGTAATGGGGACTGGATCACATCATCAGCTCTCTCTCTCTCTCTCTCTCTCTCTCTCTCTCTCTCTCTCTCTCTCTCTCTCTCTCTCTCTCTGTTCAGCACTAAGACAGCCTTGATATGTCACTAAGTTGCCCATGTTGGGCTCAAACTTGTGATCCTCCTGTTTCAGCCTCCCAGAGTGCTGGGATTACAGGTGTGTATTTCCATGGCAGGCTTGTTGCTTCTTCCATCTACTGATTCCTTTGGGTTGGGAGGAGATGTGCCCTTCTCTGGGCAAAGGTCTGTGTGCCTTCCTTCCTTCCTGAGCATCCTGTGTGGGGTGTGTGTGCTGAAAGGCTTGGAAGCAGGCTTTTAGTCTCTTCCAAAGCCTGAAGGGAAGCTCCACATGGTACTGGGGTGAGCAGTGGGAGCTTTCTTTGAGAGGATCCTTTCAGACTTCAGCCCTGCGTCGACGTCCCCCTATCAGCCCCAGAGCCTATTTCCTTTCTCACAGCTGCCTTCCTGCTTGTTCATACCCCATCCTCTCTGCAGACAGCTCCAGCGTGACCTTCCAGGGCTCAGTCTCTCCGGTGTGTGGGGTTTTCTCCTGCATCCGACGATGACAGATCTCTTCGACAGAAGGAACCCGCTGCAGCCACTTGGTTTTTCTCTATGCCACGTTTCCTTAATTATTTTCTTCTGGTGATGGCAGCTGGCCCTGCTAAATCACCTCTCCTCCTCGGAGTCTCAGACATGGGAATTTACTTTGCTCGTCACTCCTGTCAAATTGTCAAGGTGTGATGGTGCTTATTTATATTCCTTTTCTGGAGCAAATGAGTCATGCTAGCTTTGGCCAAGAGTGGAGCTGAGGAGCCACTGGCGAAGGCATCCTGCCTGTCAGGGAAGTGGGATGGAGATGTACACATCAAAGCCCTCCAGCTCTGGGCCCTGTTCTATTCATCTGTGTAGGTGGACAGAAGGGTGATGTCTGGGGGACTTCTGGACTCTGAGCCTAAGGCACTTTCCCCAGTTGGCCCTCTCTGAGGCTGGTCAGTTTAACAGAGTCCTTGGCATAGGCTGCAGGAAATGTTCCTGGCAGGGGTAAGTGAGTCTTCTGACTTCTTGGCCATATTTTCCCATAAAGCTAACCTTGCTGCAATCGGCCCATCTGAAGAAGCATCTTGTAGACAGTAACAGATAACTAGATCATATGCGAATTTGTGAGTGGACAATAAGCACTACGTTCCCAACCCTTAAACTTATGGCAGATCCTTAGGCAAAGGTGAACCTTTTCCCCTCAGAGCCACTTTCAAATAAAAGCAGAAATGTAAAGGACTTTTCTTCTGTCACATGCTCAGTGTCTCCCCTTTTTCTCAGGAAAAACTCTCCATGCACTGCTCAGATAATGGCGGAAGTGAAGCCCCTTTGGTTCTAGGCAAGCTGAAGCCAGGGACTCTGGGTGAGCTGAGGCTGATGTCTGCAGCGCAGGTGTCGGTTGGGGTTGAGGACCCTGGACAGCTCCCAGGAGAGCCCTGGGAGGGGCTGTGGAGGACCCCACCTCTGCTGTACTAGGAGCTTCAGTACTAGTGCTGAGAAAGATTGGAGGTGGGGTGAGGGCTTTAGTCTCAATACAACCATCACCAAGCTCCTAAATACAAAATCTAGATAAAAATAGAGAACGCGCCCAGCAGCACAAACCGCGTCCCCCAGCCTCCTCTCTGTGCAGTACTGTGACACTACCATGAGCCCTCCTGAGTCTCCCCATGAGTCTCCCCACTCCCACCCAGGTACAGGCGAGTCCCAAGGTCAGCCACTTGCCCCCCTTTCTGAGTCGTTTGTGCCCTCCTCTCAATACAACGTTAAAAATCTGCAAGGGAGATCCACCCCGCTGCACGGGAAGAAATAAACAACCACTTTCTCTTTCTGGACAGATGACATTCGTAGGGTGGCTGGAACACAGACAACATGATAAGAGTGAGTGCTGGAGAGAATAAACAAGGTGTGAGTTATGGGGACTGCCAAATGCGCTGTGCGCTCTGAACTCTTATAGCGTGAAGGTTTTTTTCTTGGTGTTTGGCTGAAAACCTTCCCAGTTACCCGCTAAGGGGAGGTGAAGGCTGATGATGCTGTGCAAGGCCAGTTTCTTAATAAGCAGTGTGTGCAGGCCAGGTCTGGGGAGAGCTGTAGAGGGGGCTTCACCAGAATGGGTACTACTGGGGAGCAGGGACCTTGCCTGCTCCTCTCCAGAGACATAGGGAGACTGCTGGGTCCCCCACAAAACCCGAATACCCAGTAGGGGTGGTAGGGTTTTTTGTTTGTTTGAGACAGGGTCTCACTGTGTAGTACAGGCTGGCCTTGAACTCATGGCAGGCCTCCTTCCTCAGCATCTTGAATTCTGGGATTACAGGCATGTGCCACCATGCCCAGTAGGGTAGCACCTTTAAGTCAGGCTTTTGGATGGGCTGTGTAGGTATTCAATAGGGCTAAAAAGGACCTCACTGCTTCAAAAGGGGTCGAAGTGTCTCATGCACCCCTCACCTCCCTCAGCCCCAGGGGCATCATGGTTGAGGAGGATCACGGCTGCTTTGACTGCTGAAATCCCAGTCCCAGCCTCTGATGGACAGTAATGAGAGATCCTATCACTCTGGATGCTGTGCCCTGGGAGAGACAGAGTTCTCTGCAAGGCATCAAACCCACCAAGGGGCAGGGATTGGAGGAACTGTGGGGCGAGGAGAGGCTGTGTGTGTGTGTGTGTGTGTGTGTAGGGGTTGCTGGCCCCAAGCTTTCCTGCATGGAGTTTGACAACTGCTTCTTGAGCCCCCTGAAGTCTCCTGACCAAACTGTTTCCTTGGTCACTTTTCCATGTCCTGGATCTTCAGGTTGTTGAACCTCTGTGGCTGGAGGCATCACACATGCACTGTCCTTCCCACGTCCATTTATGGGGCTTTGTCTGCTTCCCTTGGCTCAGGCTGGCCTGGTACAGAGCAGATGCTGAAAGCCACACCCTGGGGGAAGCCTGGTTCTCTCCCAACATGTGCATGACCCTGAGTCTAACTCTTGGTCTCACCCCAGATCCTTGGCATTGAAAGGTCAGTATCTTCTGAGCTGTCCCCGCTTTCTGTACCCAACATGAGCTTAAGAAAGGCCTCTGAGTCACTAGGCAGCCTGTACGTGGCCAGAGTGTGCACCCTCACAAAGCAAGTGAGCAGAAAAGGTACCAGGTGCACATGCTGCCCACTGAGCTTAGGGGACAAGCCCTGAGGTCACTGCCAGGTCCCACTGCACAGGAAATAAGTGTATTCCTTAGGGCTCTACAAAAAACCCCACGGCCAATAGAAGGTATATATGGAGAAGAAAGAGAAAGTAAAGGAGTGTGGTGGGGGGAAGAGAAGAGGGGTATGAAAGACAGGAGAGGAAAGAAGAGAGATTTTAAGGCATTGGCTCATATAACTATGGTTGTCAGACTAAACTCTGCAGGTCAGGCTAGCGAACTGGGGAACCAGAGAATTGATATTGTAGCCCAGATCCAGAGGGAGTTTGGAGAGACAGAATTTCTTCTTTGTCAGAGAAGCTCAGTCATTTGTGGCCTTTAACTGATTAGGTAAGGCCCGCCCACATCATGGAGGGCTACCTGTTGTCCTCAGTATCTACTTATTTAAATGTTAACCACATCTAAAAATACCTTATCAACACCACTGCACCCCATGGCTTACACAAGATGGTACGTTTAGGTAACTATCATGGGAAGTGTCTGCTTTTACTATGGCTACTGTGATGAAGTATCACAAATTGAGCAGCTTAAAATAACAAACATGTATTCTGTCACAATCTGGTTCTGAGGTCTAGAAGTCAGTCTATAAAACTCATTCCTTCTGAAATCTCCAACAGAAGATCTTTCCTGCCCTTTCCAGCTCCAGGTGATCC